CAATATTCCTCTCTTAGGTTGTAGAAATGGGACGGGTCCAATATGCGAAGGTTAGTCGCGGCAGTAGGGCCAACAATCTGGTACGTTAGCGTGCGTAACTGTGATTATCTCACGCTCTAGAAGAATCATATTTTGTTACTGTACAGCTATTCATTTAAAACAAAGAGGGAGCATCCATATATAAATCAATATATAAATAAGATGAATATATTATAATCTATATATAATATATATCATATAGTATATTAATAATATATATATATATTAGGCCTGTGATAATTATATATATCACTATCTTATGTTAATCAGCGGCTGCTTTACGTTTAAGTCTACTCCTTGGGGTGCGCAGACTAGATTGACTTAAGTGCTGTCTTCGCCACTCCCGTTGCCTTAAACTGTATAAATCTGTTACTTTACATGTAATTATTTCTTTTATAACGAGTACTCTGTATTTATGTATGTTTAGGCCAGTGGCGTAGACAGGTTCCTCAGTTGTGGGGGGATGATTTCGCTGTTACTTCCAATCGATAATGTATATGAGAGGCGTGCGCCGAGTAGGCACACGCGAGCGCCTTGGCGCAAGCCTTAATGGGTGGGGCGGTCCAGGCGGCACGCCTAGGGCGCCCTGGCGGGCCGGGGTGCAGGGGACAGAGCCCTTGCCGGGGTCCAGGGGCGGAGGCCCCCGGAAGCTCTTGGATTTTAGCAATTTTAGAAACCTTCAAGTATGCCGTCGTTTTTGAGGTAATTGAAAAAAATTGATATGTAAGCTGCAATTTTCGCTGAAATTCGAGGGAATTTTTTCTTTGGTTCCCAGGTTTAATAACAGCAGGTTTTAATAAACACCCCCCCCCACACACACAACAGAGTGGCGGCGCGAGCCAGAATGTGAATTCTAGGGGGGGGGGGGCGAATCAATGCGAGTCTCAAGGCACGAAGCGCCGCACTGTGTGGAATTGGTTAAAAAGTTGCCACATCTAAAAGGCAATCAATTTTGGACATCTTTATCATAAATATCAGGTATTTTTTTCCGTCCTTATAGGGGGGTCCCTCTCTCGTTTTAGGGGACCTCCAGGGGACCTCCTGTCCAGGGGACCTCCCCCAGAATTTTGTTGAAAGTAACACGCTCTGCGATGCAATTTCCTGCATAGGCAGCACTATTAAACAATCTATCATCAACGAATACATCACTGTTTGAGTTGATATTTTTACCTTTTGGGGACACAATAGACTAAAATGCTTATACCAAATCTGTGCCTGCTACTGGAGGTTGCCAGGCGACTTACCTAGGCTTAAAATACCTTTTACCCTGAAAATTCTAGTGGGTGGGGGCGACCGTCCCCTGTGCTACTGACCCCCGTGACAAAAACTTACAGCCACTGGAATATTCCCCCTGAGAATTCTGATAAACGTATGATGTTCCTACTAAGCAAGTGAGAAACCTAGACTGCAAAGGGAATCATGCGAAAAAAACCACCGATGTGAACCAAATCGTGCCATCATTTAGCACCCTTATACAAAATCGGGAGATATACTTCCTGTTCGCGGTTCTCAGCACCCCCAGTCCCCCTCCAAAAGTGAGAGTGGAAATTGAATTTTCCCATCTCAAACCCCCGCTGAAAATTCAATATCCCAACTCTCATTAGAGTCTATTTCTAATTGTTGAATAAAGCAAGGATTTAACTTTCGTGAGCAGTGAATAAGACGTGATTTAGGGGTATTTTGCAAAAACAAAATCGTATATGCATGGGGAATGCGTCCAAAATTAAGCCGTTGTAGCTTCGTAAAATAATGTCATTCTTGGAACGAATTACAGCTATTCTTACAGTAGATGTATGTCACGCTTCCATTTCTGTAATAATACATGGTAAGAGAGTATGAATAGGCGTGACGGATTTGCTAGTTATAAATATTCCAGTTTTATTGTCTGTAAAATAATTAAATTTTTCCCCCATTTTCATTCCTGAAATAGGCGGTTGATGAAGCCCTCATGCTCAGTTGGTGGCTTAACTTAAGGTATAGGGAGGAAATGCAGTGTAGGCGGTTAACTCCGTCTTACAAGAAGTGTGTAGAAATGTTAACACTTATATTCACAAGAGAAGAAGTGTAGACAGTGCCACAAGAATAGATTTATTCAGGAAAGCTCCTGCAGTTAATAGAATAATATACGTACTACAGTACACGGAGAAGTGCTGAAGAATTACACAGTGCGAGTGCAATTTACACAGCTAAAAGATACTACGTTTAGAAATATAGGAAGTTATTGCACGTACTAAAAGATAGCTTACTACGAAAGAACTAATAAGAATACAAGACAGTGATAGGTCTATAGTGGCATATAGATCTATGTGCATAAGAAGAAGAACCTTAAGCCATTAGGTAAGAAGGCTTACATACTCACAGACTGGTAACAACGCACGTCGCAGGCACTGACAATGTTAGCACTCAACTCAAACTCAAACTCAACTGACTGTGCTCGCTTCGACTGTCCCATATATACACGCTTAAATTAGCAGCCACGGACCCTCCGTCCAAACAAGGAACCATCCCTGGACTCGAAACTTAACCAGCAGATGTCGATTTAGATTCCTATGTACACGGTCGGTTTATGTCATTGTGGGTAACTGATCGGGCCACCCCCTTACAAGGGTGCCACGTTCGCTCGTCTATAAACGAGTCTTCCTCTATTGTGTCGAATCTCTCCTCCCGGGGAGAGTTGGAACCCGAGTTGCTTCTCAATCGTGCTAACTGTGTAGACAACAATCTTGCCACACCCACGCACAAACAACAACATTAGCAGCCGCCTTGCCTCCGCGAAACTGCCGTAGACTCCATTTCACACATCCCATCCGACTCGTCGATCTGTCCTCGTTTACAAGAATCAATCTGCTGGCCGGAGTTATAAAAATGATTATAAGGCATCTTAACGGAGTTATAAAAATGATTAACTGATTTAATTAATGCAAACCTCGTGTCTACAGCAGAATTGCGGCACAAATCTAAACGGCTCGACCTAGGCTCGTGATAGTCGGTGTATAGCATCATGGTAGGAAGAAAAGCCATCACTGTGTGTCGAAATTGGAGGTCACAGGTCAAAGGTCAATGGGGCACAGGGCATATTTTAGACATTTTCTGAGGACATGTTCTGACGGAGCGATTGAAAAACTTTTTTGTTTCAGCGGTGACCTAGCATTTTTATGGCTTTATTGAAAGGACCATGAAATGTACTTTCTGCTGTCATGCGAAGAGTAAGTGTTTGATAACCTTTTGACCCTCAAGAGGAGGGTTAAACATGGATTTGTTTACTGTTAGAAAGAATTTGACTGCC